AAAGCACTCGCATCGTGCGCCCCGGCCTCTCCCGGCCGCGCCTACTCCCCTGACCGGGTCGCGATATCTCGTGCGACGCGTGCAGCACCTCGACTACGTATTTCAGCCCGCGCTTAGTCCAACGTCGTAGAGTATAGCGGCGAGAGTAGCGGTATACAGGGCAGCAGAGGGTCACTCTCGAACATTAAAACGTGCTGCAGCGCCCGTTTGTCGCTTCGTGCCTTGCCTTGACCCTGCTCGTCCTGACGGCCGTGTTGGCACCCTCTTCTTGTTGCAGCAGTGGAGCGGCGGCAGGATGGAGGCGGCGGACATCCTGTGCGCGCTGCAGGCCCGCGTCGCACTGCTGCCCGGCTGCAGGGACGCCGAGGAGCGGCCCGTCATCCTGGTGCCCGTCCCCGCCGAGAACGTCCCCTGGACCAAGGAGCGGCTGGACCTCGTGCTGCGCTACTTCGCCTCCACCTTCAGGTCGGTATCACCAGCACTCTGTCGCACGGGTATGACTATCAACAAGCTGGCAGAAGCTTCCGCCCCTCGAAGCCCTGCCCCTTGCTCATCGCCGCGGGCTGACCCCGCACTTGGGCCGCTTCATCAGCCCGAGCTGACTAAAGAAGCTCGACGACGAGCTCAGCCGAGCTGCGCGCTGAGCTGTGCTGGCCGCAGGCTGCCACAGCAGGCCTGCTGACCGGTGTGAAATATCATCCACCGGAAAGCCACACGCCCGCGGCGCCACCCGATCGGCTGCACCTGTAGCGCTACGTGGTTGATTAGCCAAACCCCTAAACAGTTATCCCCCTCGTGGCTCGTCCGAGTCTCAGCAGCTGGCGTGGGAGGATCTTGTCAGCTGATCGGAGCACGGAATCCCTCCCCTCCTCCGCCTGTCAAACAACAGGCGGCCGCCCTCCCCCCTGATCAGCTGTTCTCTACGAGTGTGTGTTTTTGTGTCCTTGTCCGCAGCCCCGAGACGCGGCGCGCGGGGCTGACCGTGGTGGTGGACGCGCGCACGGGGTCCTGGCGGTGCGTGCGCGTTGCCATGCGCCAGGTGGGGGCGTCGCTGGGCCCCGACCTGGCGTCGCTGCTCGTCATCCGGCCCGACGCCTTCTGGGACAAGCAGCGCGTCGACTCGTGCGCGCGCGCGCAGCGGCAGGGAGAGGTAAGTAGTGAGAGGTGTTTTGCCGGGGCGGCGATACCCCGCGCCCCGGGCCGCGGCCGCCTTGAGGCAGGTCGCGGTCCTGCAGGATGGAAACTACTCTGCGCGTCGGGGACTCTCACCTCACGCAAGCCGTCGATGCCGTGTCGGAGGCCCCAGGGCGGCCCATTAGAACAGAGGCTTGATGCTTACTTACTCCGCCCGCGGCCCCGGCCAGCCCGAGCCCGAGTGAGGGGCGTTCTGCGACGTGCAATTTGTTTTTATTTGAGGAAAGGATGCAAAAAGATGTGCGTTTCGAGTGAACCTGTATAATGACGGGGCCCGTTTGCCGTTTTGCAGCCCGTGCTCATACCCCTGGCCCGGCTGCTCAAGTACCTGGCGCCGTCGCAGATCCCGGAGGAGCTCGGCGGGCCCTGGGTGCACAACCACCACCAGTGGATCCAGAATAGAATCGTAAGTGTTTTCCTCTACGCGCGCGCGCGCCAGTGTCCAGGCGGCCCCCTCCGGGCTAACAGTGCGCACTTAGGATGATGGCAAGTCGTCCTGCTCGCCGCGGGCGGCGCGGCCTGAGAGGGGCGTAAAGAGGAAGGGGGGGGGCAGCTCTGCAGTGCTCTGCTTGCAGACCGGCTTGGGGCCGCTATTCGCTTTTGAGCAGCAGCCCGTCGCCGCCAGCCTCTCTTTCAGGGAGGGGAGGGGGGGGGCATCATCAGCAACATGGTCTCTCTCAACGACCAGGCACCGCTATTGAATTGATGACTTTATTGGAAACCTTCACGAAACTCTGCTCCACGTGAGGTGCTCATGTCCTGGATCTTCTGCCCGCAGTACATGGAGACGTTCGCCCGCGAGGCGGAGACGGCCGCCAACGACCTGGACAAGCTGCGGGGACGGCTGGCCGGGCAGCAGGCCATGCTGTCGGGGGAGTCGGCCGCCACCACCAACCCGACCACCATCGGGGCCATCACCATCTCGGCGAGGATCAACCTGGAGCAGCCGCCGGTCACGCTGGAGAACTACCAGCAGACCAAGGAGGCCGGGCGGCAGGTGGTGACGGCGGGCCGCGAGCTGCTGGAGCGGCTGGACAAGGACTACCAGCGGCAGGGCGAGCGCCAGGGCGGCCAGGGCGCCGCGCAGCCCGTGCCGCAGGACGTGGTGGACACGCGCATCCGCATCGAGCGCCTCCTCGAGCTGCTCGCCGCGAAGCAGGCCCTGCTGCACGACGCGTGGCACAGCCTCCAGAGCACGCTGGTCGACGCCAAGGAGCAGGCGTCCCTGGAGGAGCGCGTGTCCCGGGTCACGGACTGGATCCTGGGCCCCGCCGAGACCATGCTGAACGCGCAGCGCGAGGTGGGGCTGGACGTGGCCTCCGCCGAGGAGCTGCGAGAGGCGCACGAGGCCCTGGAGCTGCAGTGTAGGGTGAGTCTGGAGTCTCTGTCACTCCAAGAACAAAAAACACGTTCAAAAACGATCCTGACTTTAAAATTGCAAGCACCGTTGAGTAGATCGGTTCCGAAAACATGATTGCGATTATTGTTACTGTCATTATTCAAAATCAATCGCTCTTTTCTGGCGGTCCGGTCAGCGACGCATTTACTCGAGCACCAGAACCGCCTCCAGGCACGACGGTTTATTGCTTATTGCAACTGGCCAGCCCTGCCGGTCGTGACTCCGCTGACGGCGAGGGCCGGCCGTCGTGCTGGGCCGGACGCCAAGCTGGTCGTCAGGCTCACCCGCCTCGCTCTGTTGCAGGACACGTACGGCCAGTACGCGGAGCTGCTGCACCGGCTGGACTCGCGGCCCGCCGCCGGCCTGCCGCTGCCCGCCGACCTGCGCAGCCAGCGCGACTTCATGGACTTTGCGTGTCGGAGCTTCGCGACCCGCCTGGAGCGGCGTCGCACCGTGCTCATCAGCTCGCTGAGGTTCTACCGGCTCGTGGACGAGGTGAGGCTCTGCGGACATGGAGCACACCGTGATGGTGGCGAGGCGGTCTCGGGTCGCTCAAGTTTGCACGTTTTTGTTGCAGTACCTAGAGACGACGGCCGACATCCTGGAGTCGCTCATGCGCGAGGGTGACGTCGAGGCGCTCGACTCGGCAGACGAGTCCCTCCGGCAGCTGCAGGCGCACCAGGTTGACGTTGGTAAGAATGACGCAGTGGATGATCAAGGGACTTGATATTCAATTCCATTTATCGTACAATTTTGATTTGGTATTTCGCTTTTGATTTGATTGACATTGATTTTTAGTAAGAAAGTTTTAATGACTCCTCCCACATTGAGCGCCACCTTAGCAGGACACGCCTCCGACTGGAGCCGCTCGCGGCCCCTCCCACACTTTGCCGCGCCCGGCCCAGCCAGGCCGCGCCCCAGCAGCGCCCCGCGAGGCGCCGCGGGCCCATCACGATGTTGATCCACCGTCACTTTCCATCTTGTTGCAGACGAGCTGGAGCGGCTCGTGGTGCGCCAGGGGGAGAAGCTCTCGGACCTGCTGTCCATGCCGGTCAAGGACGCGCTGGGCCGCGAGGTGAGCGTGGACTACGGCGGCCACATCGGCCACGTGACGGCGCTGCTGGAGGCGGTGCGCGGCCGCCAGACGCTCTTCTCGGACACGGTCAACATGCGGCGGCTGACGCTGCAGCAGGCGGCGCACGTGCGCGCCTACGAGCAGGACGCGTCGCAGGCCGTGCGCTGGCTGGGCGAGCTGCAGCGCGCGCTGCTGGCGAGCCACGCGCACGTCGGCTGCACCGCGGGGGAGATCCAGGCCCAGAAGGCCGAGCAGCAGTCGCTGCAGGAGACGGCGCGCGCCACGCACCAGTACGGCGTGCAGCTGCTGGCGCTGGCGCGCTCGCTGCGCGTCTCGTGCCGCCTGCCGCTCGGGGCGCACCGCGCCCTCAGCGACCAGCTCACGGCCGCCTGGGAGGCGCTGCACGCCGTCAGCCAGGAGCAGATGACGCGGCTGCGCGTGTCCGCCGTGTTCCACCGCTCCGTGCAGGAGGTACGCGAGGACGCAGATTACTACCACCCCCGAGCTGTCACTCCAGCCCGCAGCCCACATTACGAGCCGTCTTATGTCCGCAGCACTGCAAGCAGCTCCGCGACCTGGCCGCCGCCGTGCCGGGGTTGGCGGCCGCCCTGGCGGCGGAGACCGACCCGTCGCGGCGCCGCGGCCGCCTGCGCAAGTTCCTGGGGTCGCGCGAGCGGCTGCTGCTGGAGGTGGGGCGCATGGTGCGGCTGGGCCGCCTGCTGCGCTCCCGGCTCCGCGAGCCGCTCGTCGACCCCTTCCCCGCGCTCGGCGCCGCCCTCGCCGCGCCCCTCAGCCCGCCGCTGGCCCCGCTGGGCGCCACCTGCGCCGCCCTGGGCACGGGACCCCCGCCGCCGAGCACTCTTCCGGCGGCCAGCAGGTGCGTACGCGACAAGGACCTCGCGGAGGTCAGTGCACGACGCGCAGCTCTCCACCACCGAGCCGTCTCGGTTTAGCAGCAGGCCGCGCTGGCTCTACTCCGCGCATCGGGGGCGCTCACGCCCGAGCAAACGCCCCGCCACGCCAGGCCCGTCTCATTGTATTTTTAGTGAATTGTGGCGCGCAGGCGGGCGTGCATGCGTTGGCAGGGCGCCATCCGGAGGACTACTACTTGTCAGACTGCATGCACCGCCTCTCCACGCGGGTGCGCCCTGCGCCCTCCCTGCTCGCCCTGATGCTTGCCGTGCGCTTGAAATAAAAGACCCGATCCCCCTACTCTCTGGCGAACACCGAGAATGACTTACAAGTACTAAAGTGCACGCACTTGTTTTCACTTTGGGGTGAAGGGGGTCATGGGGAAGGTGATGGGGCCCCGCCAGTAGTGTAACACCGGCCGGTGAGCTCCGCGGGCCCGGCCGGCCCTGCCAAAGCCCCATACATCCTAAAATACACCCTGCCGTGCCGGGTTTGTTGGGTGCTGGGCTGGCATTGCCGACGCCCGCGGCAGATAGGAGGCGCTGCGGGGTCTACGTCACACCCTAGTCCTGGCGGCGGCGGCGTCCTGGCCAGGGCCAGCACCAGATAGCCGTCGGCCGTCGGGTCGGCACTCAATGAGCGCGTTGACGTGGGTGGTTTCCGCCACTCTCCCTTTCTTTACCACGTGTCCTCCACGCCATTCCACTGGACTTCTTTCCTTTTATTTGCCGCCCTAAGGGAAACAGGAAACAGGATCCAAACAATGTGTACACCGATAAGGTCAAAGTTCAACCCTAAAGTTAAAATAAGTTCGTCGACAGGTTTATCGAAATCCTTTATTTTCAAAAGGTCATAAAAAGAAATGAATGAACGGAAATTCAAGACCCGTTGTGGATGTAAAGCCTGGAAATCACTCGCCTGACCGGCCTTGCACTTGCATCTCGCGAGCTGCTGAAGAAGTCCCACAATTAAGAGGCTCCTCTGCACGGACATGCGGATAGTGGTGGAGGATATCGGGAAAATGAGCAGAAATGCCAGCCATCTCCCTCACCTCTCCCCGTAACCCCAATACTCTCGATCGCATGCCACCCCGCCCGGCCGTGGCGCGCGGTGCGCCTGATGCATGTCGTCGAGTGCGGCGACCGCTGCTGCCGGTTTGGCGCCCCCCTCCCCCTTCTCTCTACCTCCCCCTTCAGGTCGCCCCCACCGGCCCGGGCCGCCGTGTCGCCGGCCGGGGCGCGACGCGGCTCTCCCCGCCAGTCCACTCACCGCAGCGCCCCGCGAAGCCCCGCCCGACGCGACGCCGCGACGCACAGCCCTTGGCCAGCCCGGCCGCCAGCGCACGCACGGCACGAGACGCGATCACGACTCCTCCACGAAACCGACTCGGAATCCCGCGAAACTGTCCGCTATTTGCTTCCGTCCGAACGCCGCGACGACCCGCGTGACGAAACACCCGCGCGTGACGAAGGGCGTACACACCGCGGAGCAGTCACGGACCGAGTCTGCGCCAAGGGCTGCGCCGCGCCGGAGACCCTCCTCCTCCCCGCCCACGAGAGGCGCCGCCGCGTCGCCAACATACACCGTCACGCCGAACTAGTTCCGTTCCTGGAGTGGGATTACCGCCGCACGATGGATCCGACGCCAGGCGACGCTCCGGGACAGTCCGAGAAGTAAGTGCGTCGTCGGCGGGGTTGGCATCCCGCGCCCGCACCCCCGCTCTCCCCACGAACCCCTGCGCCCGCCCCTGCCCGCCGCCCCACCGCCGGCCGGTGGCGCCTCCCCCGCAGTGGGACGATGCTGTGTGTATTTCCTGTCCATCAATCTCTCGCGCCCAGTCCACCTCCTCGGCGCCGAGATGTCGCGGCGTCGCCGTGGGGAGGTCCACGCGAAGGCGGAGCGCCCCACGGCCAGGGCCGGCCAGGGCCAAGGTGGCCAAGACGGGCCCCTCTGGGCATTTGGTTTCCTGTCCAGAGAGTTAGGTCATGTGGCTCTTTTTGCAAACTTGCGCTCGGATTGCACTGTTAATTACCTAAGCGGCTTTGAAACGCGGTTCGTTGGAAAAAAATAAGGGGGGGGATCATAAGCCCTCCACCAGAATATACGCGTTTGGGGCGGTCGCCCGTAGGCGCGGGCCTCGTGGTGGCAAGCAGCTATTGCCACCTACACCTTTCAAGTCTGTCGAATTTTTTTGACGAGATGTGGGAACGGTCTGGTTGCTTTGGGTCATGACAACCGCGCGGTCGTAGTGGTGACTCTGCTCAAAGCGGCGGCACAAGGAAACAAAGCAATATTTGCGTTGGCAGTCGGCGTTGGGGTGGGTGCTACCACTGCCGACCTACAGACAGACCGGCTTCCACACAGTTTCCGCACAGCGTCTGAGGTTTTAGTGGCAACTAAAACTGCAGGAACCGTTCATTTTTTTCGGCCTGAAACGTCGGGGATCACCTAGAAGGGACCGTCATTTGCCGTTACGATACTGCCAAGCCAAGTTCAGCCGATAGTAGCTCCTCTAGCGCCTGATAGGTAGGCAAAATCTTGCCAGCTGCGCACGCGTGTGTTGCGGGGTGGCCTACCCGCACTGGAAATGCAAGTGTGTGAATGTCGCTCACCTGCAGATGAGCGACATTCCATTCGTACACTTACGGGGGTAAACGTGTGAATTTT